CCCGCGCCGCCCCCGCCGGCCACCCCGCCGCTGTTCTTCATCGCCCCCGGGATCGAGAGAGTCGACACTGGCTTCCGCAGCTGGAACAGCGGCGAGCAGGAGCACGATTAAGAAGAGAAGAGGCCTGCAGTTCGTGACGCGCGTGTGCTCGTGTCGTGCATTGCTGTGCGTGGGAGAGCGTGCAAAAGCGCCCGCGTAAATCACTTTTATATCTCGCGTAATTGCACTCTTTGACAGGGAAAAGTTATGCACAGATTTAGACAAAAGGGAATTTATTATCTCGGAAGTGACAGATATGGCGAAATGTCACGGAACTATTTCAATTTCTCTCGACAAAACGTATGAGAAAGGTCTTTTCTTGTTAAAGTTGTATTTATCACTGTTGTAGTGAGGTTCTCGTGTTTGATGAAATAAGACAAATCTGTAATATACATTTAATACAAAAGTTAATGATGTATATATATATATATATAATATTTAGAAAAAAATTTCATTGACTTTTATCGTACCATTTTGATAATATTTAATTATTATAGAATTTTATAGAATTTTATATTACAAGTTGAAGGTATAACCTTATTCTCTTTTAAATTGAAACACTTATGTATAAGACAGCAATTTAAAAATCATTACAATGATAAGGTAAACACTTAAGTTTGTTCTCGTAAAGTTTTTATTTAAACTGACCGTACAGTTTACAAAAAATTTATATTCTTTAATGAAAAAAGCTAGAATATATGTCAAATGGATGATGCGTGTACATCAAATGAGCATCTTACAATTTTTATTTTGTCATTTTGAAAATATTTAGTAACATATAAAATTAACAATAATTATGTATAATGGCATAAGATGTTGTTAATTTTATTCCATTTTTATTCCATTATTTTAATTATTTTGCATATTATTATGAATAAATTGTTTATTGACTAAGAAGTAGCGAGAATTTCTTTAAACAATCCCAATATCTGGAGCTATGTGTATCTTTTTGTCAGAGTGTACATCTATTCCGACTTCGCGTGACTGTTCTTTGTTATCTCGGTTTTGAATTTGATTCAGAAATTCAGTCAAATTCATTCTCGATAGAGGAAGAGTAGCGTAACTCGTGCTTGAAAGAAACGCAACAGAACGCGAGTTATATGAGTTGTGTAAGTGAATCGAAGCGGTGGATCGAGTGTATTGAAGTCAATAGAATTATGTAGAAAGGTGACCGCAAAACAGAATTCTTTTGAACTGCAATATGATTTCCCTTTTCTTCAAACGTCCCTTTACCTTCTGAGTTCCTCTTGCATGAGAGATGTGCTGAACCCGCCTTTATCGTTCAGAAATTGAAAGGTTTATCGCCTTACAAAGAAATTTCGTAAAATGCCAAATTCTGATTTTATTGAAACTTTGCATACATATAGATCGCGCAAATAGATAAATTCAGAAAATTTCAATTGCAATTCAACCAATAAACAATTAAATTTTAAGAGATAAAATTATCCCTTATATATGTGAAGCAGTTATTAATATTTTTTCATTGTATTTTGAAAATTATTAGACATAAATCATTCAAGATATAAAGCCATGTATGTGCATTGTAAAAGTTTTATAATAAAATTATTTCTACCTATATAATATTCTTAAAAAATAATTATTTTTAAAATTTATATTTTTAAATTTATATTTTTATTTTAAAGAGTGACGTAAATAGAGGTCATTTTATTATAAAACTTTTCCATAAAACATTTTTTGAACGAATAGTTTTTGAGATATAGGTGCGAAAAACGCTAAAAATTGTTTTACATATAAGATGATTTCATAAAACCTTTATTGGCCCCAACTGATATTTTCTAAATTTATCTATTTACGTAATCTATATACACACACACACACACACACACACACACACACACACACATATAAAATTTCATTAAACTACTACTTTTACGAGGTAAGGGATCGTCGCAAAATTCTGATTTTAATGAAACTTTGTATACACGTACATAGGTTACCTAGCAAACAAGCTGAGGTTATTTGTCGCTATTTTGATGCAAAATGACGTCTTTAACATCATTTGACGTCAAAATAACGACAAATAACCTCAGTTTATGCTTGCTGGATATTTTCTCTCTACTAACATGGGGTTTAGTAGGAGGAAAATTCCGAAAGTGTGGGAATAGATTTCAATTTTATATTCCTCCCCTTTTTTTAATTACATCGAAATAAATGACCGTCGCAAAAATTCTAATCTAGTTTCGATTTATTTTAACAACGATCGTGTGCAATTCTGATTTATCGGATAAAACGTGGCGCGCGCGTGGGCAGAGTCACACGGGATCTTCTCGAGGCTAGGCTCTCAAGAGGCTCGAGACAGCTTTCGATCGATGAGAATTATTCCATTTCCCCGTCCGACGAGATATGAGTTAACGAGTGTCTCGGAAATGTAGAATTCTACGTACGGATGAGGTGGTTTCTCGTTTGTCAAGAGATATAGTGTTCGTTAAAAAATTTATCGTTTCGTGCTAGAGAGAGCTTGAGATTCCTGTGTAACAAAGCGCGTCCCTTAATCGCGTTAACTTTTTCAGCTACGCCAGGAGGTCGCGAATTGAGTGTTGGAATGGTTGTTTTTGTGAGTTTCGCGAGCGCAAATAATATAAATAAATGCGAGATTTGGATTAAAGAAAAAACCAGATTGCTTTTCTTCGCTTCTTAAAAGTGGAAAAAGTTTGCTTCGCCATTTTGCAACTTCGTGCTACCACACTAATGAATTGATTAATCACCTCGAAGTAAAATGCGGTTTAATGAAAAAGACAAAATATGCGAATTTTTATTCTACTTAGCGCCTTGAGTTTAGAGATGATTTTTTTAAAAGCTGTAACAGTACAATTTAATCTATCTTTATATCTAATGTATTATATAAAATTCAGGAAATGAAAGTATGTGTTATTTGTAAGATCGTTATTTTATTATAATAATGATAATAACATTGCAAATTTTTTTATGGTAAAAAAGTATCAGAATTGAAAAAGTCAAGTTACTTCTAATGGGTTGGAAATAGGATAGTCATAAAAAAGTAATTTTTTATTTATAACTAGTTTCATTCGTTACTTGTAGCGAAAAAAGTAACTCGTCAATGTTACAAGATACTTATTGCTTTTTAAAAATTATTACTTTTATCAAATTATTATAAAAAGTATAATAAATTATTATAATTGTACTTAAAGATAACGAGCGGTAGTAATTTCTTCCATTTCCTGACAAAATTGGATTTATATATTTATAGACTACTAGTATCAAGTAAATAATAAAAAGAAAATTAATCTCTTCATAATGTAGTCTCATTAATAAAGTGTATGTGACGTTCAGTTATTAAGGTATTTAACGTTGAGAAGAAAAGGTTTGAAAGTTTTTAGAAGTAAGATTGAACTAGACAATATCGCTAACTATAAGGAATAAATAAGATAATTGTGCAGTAAAATGACATTCGGAAAATTGCTAAAACTAAGTGGCTGTTACTTTTTGTAATAAAAAATGGGACAAAATAAAATAAAAATTATATATTATAATGAAGAAGAAATCCATCATTTTTATTAACACAATATAAAAAGTAGATACATATATAAACTTTCAAAAATTAATATTTTATAAAGAGATTAACGATTTAACTAATTACATAATTTAATGATATTTATAGAATGTTTCTAAAGTATTGACCAATATTTTAAGAGTTGATTATTTATGTAATTTAAAAAAAAAATGCTCATATAAACATCTAATTTTAAAAGTCACGGTTTAGAGGCTATTAAAAATTTTATAAAATTATCGTTCTTAAGTAGCAGTTTAAACGAGAAAAATTTCAAAAATTAATATTTTTTAGCGATACTAATATAATATAATGAAATAATAAAATCTGTAAAAAAAAAATTGAATTTCATCATTGCTATATAAATTTGACACACTAATGTACTATCTAAACTTTATTTATACATAATCGCCATTGATTTTTATAAAATAGCGACTATAGGTAAATAATGAAATCCCTCTACGAAAATAAAATTTCTTTTCGTTTATATATAAAAATCTTTTATATAAAAAATTTCTATAAAATTCTTACGAGAAGACTTTTATAGAAATGATCTTAAAACTTTTAATATCTTGTATCTCTAAAACGAGGCATTTAAGATCATATGAACTTTTCTTCATATAATGACTTAAAAAATTACTCTTAAAACAACTCTTAAAACAATGGAGTTATCTTTATAGTTGCTACTACTACGTTTTTTTCTCTGAATACAACCAGTCAAATTATTTGTTTTTATGAGTTTACAAATTTATGTTTAATTGCATAATATTGATATTTTAATAAAAATGACAAATTTTTACTTTCTAATAACACTTGCGTTATTTAGTTTCTGCATTAAGAGAAATAAAATAGTTGTAATTATCACAATTTAAGTACAATTTATAGTACATTTTTTAGATAACTATATATTTATTATTTTAACTATGCAAATATAGTCAATTGTGTTAATAATAATCATATGCTGCTTGAAAAGAAGTCTTTTTTTAATATACTTTTTATTACTATCACATAAGTAACAAGTGAATTTGAGAAACTCATTCACTGTGATTGCAACTGCATTTACTGAATACAAATATTTTAATTACTATTTATTAAAAATAAATAATCTATATAGGCCGATAATCACAAATATCTCAAATCCTAAATTATTGAATCTTCCGTCATGTGAGTCACTAAACGCGTTTGACTACTCCGGAGAGGAAAGTTAAATAGTGAATATGTATAAACTGAGATAACTTGTTCAATAATTTATTATTTAATATAAACCTTCATGGAATTATTGAACTTTCTGTTTGAGAATCCTTCAGTTGGGAACCTGTTAGTGACTCACATGACGGAAGATTCAATAATTTAGGTTTTGAGATATGTATTGCTGAAAAGGACTCCAAAGAGAACCGAAATAAAGAAGATTCCACACAATCGATTAATGGTATAGATTTTAATCGTTGGCACCAGCCTGTAACTCTTATTGGCCTTGTATAGATGGTTTATTTTTAATTTTAATATTTAGAG